GCAGGCGAATCAGGCCTTTTGTTTCTGTCTGTGTAGGGGGGTGAGGGGAAATCTTCACTCTGGCTTTGGAGCAGCAGCTGGTGCAGAGAAAAAAGAGAGAGAGGAAGACGGAGACGCGGCGAGGTGGTGGAGATCGAGAGGAAGAAATGGACAGGATAAGATTATTAAGGGCTTGAATAGCTACACTGTGTCATATTTTAGTGCCGTGCCATAGCAACACCATATGATCATATGGAAAATATTTGCCCAGGAATTTGCTCATAAACTCGCCTTTATCCTGTGCATTCTCCTTTTTTGTTTGCTTCCTGTTCTTATTAAGTGCACAAGAGAAATACCCACATGCACGTGCATGCACACACACACACACACACATATATATATGTATATGTATAGAGGAGATGACAAGATGAGATGACAACCTTTCAGTCTAAAAGCCAATGAAAGAACATACATTTCTCCTACACGTCAACATTTTTAATTCATTTAACACTATTTCACATCCACACCCATGAGCATAATTGTCTTGAGTGAATATCCATACAGCTCATACAGCAGTGTACAGACAGAAAATAACAAAATAACAGGATGTTTAAAAAGAAAAAAGATGACATCACATTGCAGCACCTGTGATAGATAAATGTGTTAACAAAACAATCAAATCTTGCATTTCATAACCTACCTGGTACACTGCAGAGAGGCTTTCAGCAGAATAAGGCTGTTTCTGTTTGGCCTGCTACCAGTCCTTGATACATCTGGCAGCCATGATTGCTGTAGCCTAAGCTAATTAGCCTTCATTATGTAAAGGACCGTGCCAGATTTATTCATCAACACCAATGGATTCTACACACTGCAAGACAAATGGATTTGTGCATGTGTATGATAAAAGGCCTTGGTGACTCCTGCCTTTTTACAGTGTGACAGAGTCAGTGCAGGAGCAGAGGCTGGGTTGCCATGCTCCCCCACCCCTAACAGACACACAGTCACATGACGTCATGCTGCATCCATTCATGTCGGTTATAGACGCCAAAGCTTGCCATCTCATTTTTCTGAATTTCCTGCATAAGATAAGCATGTTTTGGTTGTATCACTTTAAGTATTAGTTTAGCACCCAATGGCAGAAAAAGCCACATCCTCATTTGTCATACACAGTACATTTTCCAAGATAACAGTCATTCAACTGATTATGGTTTATGTAGATTAGTAATTAGCAGTTGCTATTTTTGTATCAAATTGAAAATGCATTGTATTTTTAGCTTTGCGAATAGTAAGTAAGCAAGTAAGCTTTATTTATATAGCACCTTTCATAGATAAAATCACAAAGTGCTTCACAAGGTCAACAAATACAAGAGCAGAACAAACAAAATAACAATATAACAGAAACCAAAAAATGAAATAACAGGCATAAACATATTTAAAGCCAGAACTAAAAATCAACTAAAGGCCTGTCTAAAAAAGTGTGTCTTCAACTGCTTCTTAAAACCATCGATAGATTCAGCCATGCGTAAAGACAGGGGCAACGCATTCCACAGTCTAGGAGTCACAACCTGAAACGACAAGTACCCCCTAGTCTTCAAATGGGTTTTGGGGACCATCAAGATGGTCTAACTTGAGGAACAGAGAACACGCTTTGGCGAGTATAGAGTCAATAGATCAGCAATATACTGAGGAGCCTGACCATGAAGTGCTCTAAATGTTAGCACAAAAATTTTAAAATCAATCCTAAACTTAACTGGTAACCAGTGAAGTGAATATAAGACAGGCGTGATATGAGCTATTCTAGAGGTTCCTGTAAGACACCTCGCTGCAGCATTCTGATTTACGATTTATGGCTGACTTATTACAACAAATAAGAAGGGAATTACAATAATCAACACGTGAAGCAATAAAAGCATGAACAATCATTTCCACATCAACCTTTGATAACGTTTTCTTTAATTTAGAGATGTTCCTCAGGTGATAAAAACAATTCTTAACCACCTGTCTTATGTGGCAATCAAGAGACATAGACTGGTCAAACACAACGCCAAGGTTTCTGAGGCTCGACTGGACAGAGGAGCCCAATGAACCCAGGCGTTGTCTGATTAATGCAATCTTGTTATCCAGCGCAATAATCAGCACTTCAGTCTTATTGGGATTTATGTGAAGATAATTATTGTTAAACCAGTTCTTGATGGATGACAAGTACTTTAACAATATGGCCAAAAAATGAAACCCTGAGTCATTAAAAGAGCAATAAATTTGAACATCATCAGCGTAAAGATGATAAGACACCTTCTTAAAGTGCCGAATTATCTGACCAAACGGATATATACACACATATATATAATAAAAATAAAATTGGACCCAAGACTGACCCACATAATCCTGTCATCATTACTATAATTAATTAATTAAAGGTGACAAATCTAAAATGTACTGTAACTGTTCCCCAGAGGCCTCTAGGATGCTTTAAAACCAAACTTGACCAAAAACCGATCAATTCAACCAATCACCACTACAGTCTATGACATACACTTCAATCAAGGTGGGATTTTAATTTACAGTACTTCCCTGTCAGGGATTCTTAGACATAAAGTAAGAAGTCAATTTATACAACATTTCACAAGAAGACATAAAAAAGAGAGAGAGAAAAAACGGTTCTCTTTCTTTATATTTGTTTGCTGTGCAGCCAAATGTTCAAATCTACAAAATTTTATTTTAAATCCTAGTGGTGGTACTAAAGTTTCCAAAGCCAAAATACCAGGTTGATTTATGAGGAAATGTTCTTACTTAGAATATTTGCAGCTACTGTATAAAAGGTCTTGTGTTTGAATATGACATTTCATATGACATTTGAAAGGAATGAATTGTATGAATATAAAACAGAAATTGATACGAATGAGATCATTTTTGTCCATTCTGTTAAGTCTAATTAGCCTGAAGAAATGACTTGTTACTTATTGTGGGGCTCTAACGATTCATAACCTCATGTCCTGTTTACATTATCATTTAACTTAACTAAATACTGAGCTTCTCTATGAATGCTCACCCATTCTTTGGTACATTTAATTGTGAATTATGAACTGTACTAATAATTGATTATTTTAAAGATAATCTATAAATGACATCGAATTGAATAGTTTATGGGGATACAGATGCACAACTAAAGTTTTTAATACAGGTTTCATTGCAACATGAGTCATAAAATAAAGACAGTTCTCCCTAAACCCACCCTACACTGCCATCTGCTGTCTAGTCCCAACAAATGCACATGCAGAGTAAAACTTATTTTATTCATTCAAATCCTATTAGTTTTCTACATACAAAATACTGAATGAGGCAGCCAATCATGCTTATTCAAACTGATTAGCTTTAGATTAATTGTGTGACATGAAATTATTTCACTATAGATGATCAAGGGCGGGCAGTCAGTCATGACTGGCAGTAAGTGAACTCGTCATCAAGTGAATGATTAAAAACTTCATGGGCTCTGACTGTGTGGTAACCCACAGTTCATATATTTATGTGGTACATTAGACATTATTTAGTCATCAATTAAATGCCACAATTGAGCAGTCTATTGCAATACTAGTCACCGAAATCACCCTGTGAATATATTGTGAATCAGACAAAAATAAACCTCATTAGCAATTTTATAACTGATTTTAAGAAATAAACTCCCACACAATCTTGTATTCTAGTTGTATATTTACATATTCCTGGAGCTTACAGCATTTCGTAAAACATTTTCTTGGTTTCACAACCATATAATCACATAAAAATAAACCAACAGATATTTCAAATGGTGCTGCTACTCTGTGCCCTACCTGTTGATGCCATTTGGCCTTAGGTGAATCATCCTGTTTTGTTAAGGTCATTACTGGATGAGGATGTAATATGTTAGTAGCCAGATATCCTCTCCAATATCCTGCAGGGATGTTTGTGAGGTTGTGACCTGACAATACCCAGAGGAAACCTTCACCCTTCATCAACACATAGTTACTTACCTGAAAACACACATGGACAAATACGTGGATTTCTTATCTGAGTTCACCTGTTCTCTTCCTCCAACAAGCTGTATGTCAACACTGTCATGAAAGGGGTCAGTCAAGTATGAGAATTTCACATCAGCACATGTGTGTGCTGTTCACTCTGAGTTCTGCTTAAATCACACTGTTGACCTTTCCAAATGGATAAATACAATGTAATAAGTTGTACCTGGAGATGATGTTGACTGTACTGTACAAGCTGACATATGTCGCATTATCAAATTCTAGTAACTGAGCACACAACAGGTATTATCTGCAGCCAAATTGTTCATCCTGGTTCATGGCATTCTATTTAACCTGTGTTCTTTCACAATCACTGTTGGGTTTTTTTCCCCATGTCATTTCGGCCTCTCTGTAAAAAAAAAAAAAAAAAAAAAAAATTTTTTTTTTTTGGGGGGCAATGGAAAAAAAATTTTGTTTGCAATTGCACAACATATGTCACAAAGCCTTTCAAATTGAAAACAGAAGCAGTGGATATAAAATAAAGAGACAATTTAGGGATGCAGAAAACTGGTACTGTGTGGGGATTTCATGAATCAAGCTCCAAAAAGACTAGGTCCTACATTTCCTGTAATGCAACCGATAGCATCTTGTTGTTAGACACTAACCTTGCCTGGTAAATGTCCAGTTTATGACACTGGCATTTTTGTTAAAGGTACCAAGCCCATGCTGTGTTAGCCCTTACTAGGACTGAATAATACTAACCAGGGATAGTAAACTAGTTGGTTTACAGGTCTTGGGGAGTACTGCTCTATAGGTTAAGAAAAGAGTTTGATGGTCTTTTTTTTGTCTCCAGAGAGAGATGCATGAATTCTGGTAACCTGACTGACGTGATGTCACCTGAGTCAGTGTTAAAAATCCTTCAGGTGCAACATCAGAAAGAAGTAGGCTCCTGCAGCCCGTTCCTCCTCTCTGCTGCTTTAGCTGCCACTAAAGGTGTAACACACCTGGAACTGTTGGTGGTTGAGCTGCACTGTGGGTAATGTAGGTGGCAGGTTTTGAAATATAAAAGGATATCGCTACCTCTGCATGCTGTCTATGATGTGGTAAAGTAAGTAGTCTACAATTTTTAGGTAGGCCTACTGGCAGCCTATACTTTCATGAAGTACTTTATTGTTATTTTTATGCACATACTTCTACTCCACTACATTTCAGAATGAATTGAACTTTTACTTTGCTCCATCTGACAGGTTAAATAATGTAAAATTGTATATACAAAACATAAGTTAATCAGTTCATATATAAATATGAACATCAAGCTGTTTAAAAAATAGTTTAAAGTGGCTGCACTTCATCCAACTTCACTGTTAGTCGTGCTACTAACAAGATACAGTAGCCCATAAAGTACTGTAAGTGAAACATGTCTGCTTATTAAAGCATTTTTTTTTTATGAAGAACTTTTAGGTTCAGACCTACTTGAGATAGGCTAGAGTATGTTTTCATTGTTGTAAAACTACTTTCTCTTGAGTAAATGATCTGAGCACCTGCACCATTGGCTAGTACATCTTACTGAGACGAAAGCAAATACAAGTCCCGTCTCTCATTGTGAAATGATGTTGACAGCACTTGCGGTCATCCTACAAAGTATGGACAAACAATAGGGCACAATAACATTTACAGAATGTCTTATCATCCCATCTAATATAATGGTACTTAAAAAAAAAGCCTGTGCTGACGTCTAGCAGTGTCAGGAGGGGCTGTTAACTTTCCCCATTAGTCACTTCTGTCACAGGCTTTGGGTAAAACCTGCACGCCCCTTTTCCCTCCTCTGTGGTATCGGGTCAGTGCAATAAAAATCGACCACGATGGAGATTTTCTGAAGTTAGATCAAGCTGCAGCTACGGATTAATATACTGCTGTTCAGATCTGACATTTTTCCTGATAACATGGGTGGAGTGTGCTTATATTGTCCGTGGACCTGCAGACGACTGTGGCCGCTTTTTATTTTTCTGACTGCAATACCTTGTGGATTTCACTGCTCCCAGAATCCTCCACGTGGTAATCAATGGGCAGTAGGTAAAGGAAGCTTTAGACATTTTTTTTTTGATTATAGTTAATTCCTCCTTGACCAATAGCCTAATAGCTGTGTGATAATAGCCTAATCAGCTAATGCCGTGATCTTCAGGTCTTCTTTATTACCTATAATAAGCTCAGTTTTGTTTTTTTCAGCTGATGGACAGGTCCATGAAAGACAAATTATTAGCAGTACAGTAAATTGAATTAACTTATGCAAACAAAACTCTTTTTGATTTAAAATCTGTTTAATGGGAAACATATATTTAATAACCTGCATTAGATATTTTTCCAACCATTCAGTTTCTATGTTTGATAACCTATGTGGTGAAAATGTCGATTACAGTACAGTATAATTACAGATAAGGGGCTATCATAATGTTGCTTAACCTATTTCTGACTGCATCCAGATCACGACCAGCTCATATTATGTCCAACTTCCTAGGTCATTTGATGGGAAAGAAAAGCATTGAGAGCTTGACTGAACTGCAGGAGTCAAATCCTGACAGTGCTTATCTCACATCCTCGGAAACGGCCGGGGTGACAGAGTTGGGCCGATACGAGCATTTGATGCAGGCACTTATGCAACTAAAAAACCAAAAACCAATAGAGCCGCAAACTGCAGACAGACTGCTTCATCTACAGGGTGACTGGAGAGAAGAGGGCAGAGACAAATATCTCAGAGAGGTCAGTGTGTGGATTTTATGGCCTTATTTTTCAGTGTCTGTCACTAAAGGTTTTGAAGCTAAGCCATTATGCTTACATGCATTTTTCCTTTTTATAACTGCATTATAGATGTCAGACCTGCTTCTTCTGGCTTTGAAACTGCAAGACAGTGACTCCACCTGAAGAGAAGACAGATACTGAACAAGTGCAGTATAATCACATAACCACATTGTTAAAACCCTGGAAACCAGGGAAACAGAAGTTTATTTTGTCAGTAATTTGAAATTTCTCATATGTATATGTTGCACAAGCTGAATAAATTTAGCATTATCGTAAATGCATTGTCGTTGTCTACCCATGTATTGCACATCACTCTTTTAATTGGACTTTATTACACATCACACAATCACTGTTCTTTGAAAATATGTAATGCTCATCAAGTTGACTCCCCTGTGTGTGGTTTGTACCACTAGATGGTGCAAAACCCAATTCTAAGTGTGTCAAGAGTTGGTTACTTTTTGTATGAAGGGTTAACATGATCATAATTACAAATTACAACAAATCACCAAAGCAGATTTTGGTTAATTCAATTAGCTCCATGCTGGTTTTTTCTAATTAGAAGGAAGAAACACATCCTCTACCACACACACAGATAAACAAATACACCCCAGTGTCTATTTAAGACATAATGAAAGGGGTTATTAATAGCCCTCGGGGGATGCAGACAATAGAAAATGCTAATTGGAACAATTTGGTTACACACATCTTTCTCTTAAAGCCAAAGAAAAGTTTACTCTTCTGTTCTCTTCACACATTTGTCACGGATGATTGGTGAACAAAAGATGTACAAGCCACTTTCACCATTATGAGTCTAATCCCAGGAGTGAATGGGATGAAGTTTACAGGAGTTAATGAGGAGGAAATAAGCGGGCTGACAAATTCCTTCTCTAAAACAGAGTGAGGAAGTGTGGGAGTCCAGGGTGCTTCTTGAACACTGCCGATGCCTGTTACAGCAGCTTTAAGTTAGATGATGCCGAGTTGATGTGAAACTTGATTCACTGGATTTTTTTTATTTTCATGTATTGTTGTGCTTACAGGAGTCTGGATGGGCCTAGTTGAGCCCATAATGCCTTGGTCAGTGAGCTTTCTGCCTGAGCCATCCACCAAGGGGCGCTATATTTAGTATTATTTAAATTATTGCCTGTACCCTCTGTCTATTTGTGTTTTTGTATATGTGTAATACTGGGAGGTCTACTCATAAATGTTTCTCTGCTCTATGGTTCCTCATTTATCACAGTCATTTCACACATTACTGACAAATCTACATGTTTCAAATGTGACAGTGTGGGAAAACTTGATTTGTCATTATATTGTTTAATTTTACAAGTTTATTGTATAAAGAAAACCTGGGTCCAAAAACCAGTAGGAAAAGAGAATGCAAATTTACAAAAGTAGAATTAATACTGATACTAATTGACTCTATTTGTTATATCAGCAACATAACACTGGATAAGAGCAAGACTGGACTAAATCAGTATAAAACATTACAGTAAACCATTTGCAAAGAAGTTAAAGGAGAAGAGTAGTCATTTAGAATAATTTCACAGTTTTCTGTCATAGATTTTCAGAAGGTAATGTAGCTGTGAGGAGGATGCCTCCTGGATCACACCTGGATTTCACTTTTTAAAACTTCCAAAATAATACAATCCCATCAGCACGAGGATGTAGTCCATTTTTCAAAAGCTGCCGGACATGTATTCTGAGTCCTTCCACTCAGCATCACCATGTCTTCCCAATAGACTGAATGTGTTCCTTAGCCTTCATCCTCAGTGAAGCAATACTGGAGTTCCTTGGGTCAGCTGAGCACTGGTACGCCGGGGGTGGGGGGCACATAGAGCCGATGTGGGGCAGGTGAGGGCTGTGTCCCAGGGCTGGGGAGTTGAGGAATGAGGCTGACAAGCAAGAAGACATTGGAGGAGGAGGAGAAGAGGTGTAAGTGCCTGGGAGGCCCTGCGAGCCACCGATGAAGCCTGGGAGTGACTGCAAAGAGGTTGGGGTGGTGAGTGGGGTGGAGAGCCAGGGGTCCAGCTGCAAACCAGGGACCAGGGAGCTGGTAGGAGAGCGGCTGAAGGAGAGCAGAGAGGAGGAGGAGGTGTCCTGGAGCTTGATGGAACTCACCTCCAGCTTCCGGTTTTGAAACCACACCTGAAAAGAATGAGGAGGATTTTTATTTCTGATCCAATGTCAGCTGGGATAGGCTCCAGTCCCCACACATCCCTATTCAGGAGTAAGCAGTATAGGATATGATGGATGGATGGATTCAATTCAATTCACATATTCCTGCAAATGTAACTCAGATGCTTCAGCTTGCCACCCAAGTAAACAAATGCATAAATACAAGCTAAAACAATCGAAGCAGGTGAGCTTAAAAAACTAGAAAATGTTTTGTAAAATATAATATTTTGTGAAACTATTTAAACATTTGGAAATAACTAGGCCTAAAGCACTTTGCATTTATACAGTAATGCTCAAATTGGTCACAAATGATTGTTATACATGTAATTATATTTTCATTAATTCCAAAATTTTCAGTTTCTTCCACTGTTGAATCTGTGATAAAAGCCACACCTGAAACAAATGAAACATTTTTAAAACCAATCTGATTTCTCTGACCCTTTGGTAAAAATGAAGACAAATAAATACAGTACGTTGTCTGTAGTTATTTTCTAAAGCTTCATTTCCTGCAACACTGCTTTGTCTTTTCTGATGAGATGCATTTTAAAAAACGGGAATATGCAAATCAAATGAATGAGGTTATTAAATTAATACAGCAAAATGCTTCTATAAATTTGTAATTGATCTCTCTAGTTGGCTGTAATGATGATAACCAATCCAAACGTTTAAACTTGACATCTAGTTTGGAAAGAGTTTTGGGAACATCTGTTATTATTGTACCTTTTGCCTTACTGTCATTACAGATGTTTTGCGTGTGTTTAAAGGTAGGTTTTAGCCATAATTTATAAGCAGGCCTATCACATTATAAAACGATGAAAACAAAAGAAGAAGCTATGTTTTTGGGACCTGTACCTGCACTCGGACCTCCGGCAGGTTGACCTTCAGGGCCAGCTCCTCCCTGCTGTACACGTCCGGATAATGAGACTTTTCGAAAGCTCGTTCTAGTTCGTGCAGCTGGAAGGTGGTGAATGTGGTCCGATTCCGACGGTGCTTCTTCTTGGGGTTTTCATCATCGGACAGCTTCCCGTCCCTGTCCGGTGAGTCCGGGCACACCGAGGCATCAGCGGCGCTGCTGGCACAACGCACACCTGCGGCAAAAGATAGCGGATGTCGACTTTTGGCCAAGTTTAGACGCTTCTTATAATAAACTCTTATTAATTTCAGGCAAACGAACTCAACATTTCTTCAATGTAGCCAATTTATTTGTTTGTTTATTAAGTTGATTAGTAGCTACAGAAGATACCTGACTCCGGTCAATTACTATTTTAAGTGTAAAGTTTTTTAAATCTGAAACTTAGAGACTTAACGACCAAACAGGTTTTGCACTTGACTGACCTGATACTAAACTTTGGAGGAAACAAACTCTACTTACTTTCAAAACTTTCTGAGTAGTGACTTCTCTTCACCGCGGTTACAGTTACATTCCCGTTGCGCTCAGCATCTTTGACTATGACCTTTTCTGTTATGCTGTAAGAGGGTGATTTGTGGAAGATGGTGTCCTCTTTAAATCCCAGTATCGCTTCGATGCTGTGGACTGTCGACGGGTTGTTCGCTGGGCTTTGCACGGAGCGTGCGGAGGGAGGCAGGCGCTCATCCATCAGTATCACTTTGGAAGGTGATCCAAGAAGCCACATTGGTCGGTGAGGTCAAATTTGACAGTCAGAACATGCACACACAATAACTTATTTTCAGTTATATCCCTGCTCTTATGTTTGGTAAAGTAGTCAGTTTCAAAGTATAGCCCGATGGGTGTTGGAAAACTTGTGCACAAGACACCAGTAAGACCGTCTTGCTCAGCGATTATGGAGCATCTTCAGAGGGGGCTTTTAAAGTAGTGCGTGCGGTGAGACCCCCTGCTCATGCGGCACCCCGGTTTCACGTCAGACAGGGGACGTCCTGTTGGATTCGGCCCTGCTGGATTTAGGGGTAACATGCTCCCGTGCAGGCACCAGCGCACAGCCTCCCTAACTCCTCCCCATCTCAAGTGCATCAGTCAATGCTGGCTCTAAACCTACTTACATAAATCTTAAAACCATCTTTCCACTCCTCCAGATGTCATGTTCATGTCAGTCTGTGAAAAAAGAGGAAGATTAAGACGACAGATTAGGTTACAACAAAATCATAATTACAGGATTTCTGGTCAAGACATGGATTGCAAGATGACAGCTTAATATTTAATCAAAGCGTGAAGATATTGTAGCCAGAAGGAACAGGCATTTCATTTAGAATCATGTGCAATGTGTTTTATGAACCAAAAGAAATACTGAAGTATCTCTGAACACATGTTAAATAAAAGTGATTTAATAGGTTAGGTAAATTCAGTTAAATAATGCACTAATGATTAATAAATGTGATTAAACTTTAAGTTTCTTTAACCTTATTTTAACCTTATTTACCCCCCCAAGGCGTTGGGTCAGAGGGTAACAAAGCTCAAACTAACAATTTTGGGCTATAACACTTTAACAGGAAACAAAGATTGACAACAATGTGGTAATCCTGCTTAAGGGGATTACATTATTTTACTCAAAAGAGATAAAACCTCTAAAACTATTTTGCTCTTCCTAATTACAGAAGGTGAGCTTTGTTTGCCAGAAAGAGAAGAGAAGAGGCAGAGAGAGAGAGAGAGAGATGCTAACTGAGCACTACTTTAATTAACACCAAAAAGTTAGGCAAGTACAAGGAAAGCTATACAGCAATACTTTTTAACGTTGCTGCTTTGTGTTTGCATATGAGCTTTTATAATAATAGGTTTCTCAGCTGTATGGTGTTGGAAAAGTTTTAGTGAATTGATTCAGTTTCATTGCCAGTGTCTATTATGTGTTGAGTTGTGGAAATAGCTGAACATTCAGTTTCTATTTAGCTCCATGCTCTGCTGTCAACCTTGAAAGTTTGCTGCACACAGGCTGAATGAAGCTTCTGCATCAATATAATGGCCAATATTCACAACACCAATAACGAACAGATGATGCAGGAGGAAAATATCCTGCAGGTCTGAAACTAATTTGTAAATGTGTGTGGTAAATGATTACAAACTGAATCTGAATGTCACTGTTCTTCAGTCTAAATCCCGATGAAAGCTCATTACACAGATCTGTCACACATTGGCAGCAAAAATAGCCTTTAAGTCAATAAATAAGGTGTTAAACTAATTTTAAAATGGATGTTGTTTAACACTTAATTAAATGAAACTGTATATTATTGTAATGTTACCATATCCAATTGTTATTACAATTGAACTTGGCTCAGTCACGTTTACATTAATGTTACTACTTTCAACCATTTAGCCTGTCCAGCAGTTTTAACTAGATAATGGTGATCTCTTCATTTGGCTTTAATTCATTACTTTGAGTTACTTGTTTACTTCAACTGTTTATCCATTGCTTTTACCAATTTTTTTCACTATTTATTTGTACTTTTATTTAAAGCAGCCATAAAACACATTACTGAAACTGTATATTATTGTAATGTTACCATATCCAATTGTTATTACAATTGAACTTGGCTCAGTCACGTTTACATTAATGTTACTACTTTCAACCATTTAGCCTGTCCAGCAGTTTTAACTAGATAATGGTGATCTCTTCATTTGGCTTTAATTCATTACTTTGAGTTACTTGTTTACTTCAACTGTTTATCCATTGCTTTTACCAATTTTTTTCACTATTTATTTGTACTTTTATTTAAAGCAGCCATAAAATTCATTACATTAATTTGAAAGATTTTCCATTAGTTTGTAATTGTTTATCCATTACTTAAAAGAACTACAGAAGTTCCCCTGTTGAAAATCACTGGTCTGCACTGTGCTGTACCTCCAGCTTCATATTTTCATTAATTTCTGAAATTAGCCTGTAAGAATAATATGACGGGCTCATGCAACCTGCAGCGGCTCAGGTTACAAAGAACATGTACTATATGAGATATCTGGTATTGCAAGGCTTCAGTTTGTCCTGTGATATCCTCAGAGAGAGGGGTGTGTGGGGTGGGGGTGTGGGCTGACAACCTTGGCCACACTGATCCTATTAGATAGTAATCTCCAGACTTCACAAATCCACTGCTTTTTAAACTTGGGTTATTGTGAAATTCTAAATGTTGATGATTTTTTTCTTCCCTCCCCCTGTTCTGCCTAATCATCCCTAAGTGTTTGGATAACACCCAATTAAATTAAGACCTATGTCTATTCACTGTGTTCAGGTAAATGGTATTATGTTTAATCATTGTCCAACAGATTTCTATGTGGCTGGCTATTTTAAAATCCAATCAGGGTTTGAAATGACAAACTCAAATATAAAGCCCCATGCAACAACATACAGTTAAGAAGCATAAGAAGGCACCTTTTCCAAAATCAAGCTGCTCAGTAATCTCCATGTTTTATCTTGTAATAATAGAGTAAGCACCCCGTAGTTAAAAAAGAAAAAAAAAACTTAGAGTAGTCTTTACATTCTGCTCCCAAAGGTAGGATTTTTGCCATGCATAAGGTCAATACATACCATGTAATATTAGAATAGCTACCCCTTAGCAAAAAGCACTCACAGTATAATTAATTCTCAAGTTTCCAGTTTGTTACATCCTTATTCCCCCCATACCTATGAGTATGTATTTGTACGTACTGTAAAAGGTACACTGTAGACTTGGTGTACTTAGACTGTAAATATTCTAAAGCATGACCTAACCAGCTTGCATTGAGCAAAGTAAAGACATGAAATTTGAATGTTTGTATTTGTGGCTGCATATGACTGACATTTGGAGTTCCAGCATCCAGCTTCACAACACAAATTCAAGTAGTTTTCATAATCAATATACATGTTTATTTGATCAATGCATTAGTTTTTCACAGTTTGAAGTACCTCTATACATTTCATAAGTGTTTATGTACATTGTTTTTTTTTTTTTTAATTGTGGTTTGTGCAAATGTCTCTGCAGAGATTGGAGGCTACACAGTTATATAACAATTAATGTATGTATGTGGAGAAATGAATAGTAAATCAACATTGCCTGCTTTATAATAACACCAAAAAAAGAAAAGAAATCTACACATCATCATTAATTCAAAAATTGCATACAAAAGAAAAATCTAGAATAACCAACAAACCAAGAGTAAAGTTGAAATACTCAGACAGGATGCATTTTTAAGAATGAATGCTTTGCTGAGGGTGTTCAGGGAAAATCACTTTTTCAAATCATTTATCTAAAGAAAACAGTAATGGGCAGAGACGGGGCGGGGCGCCTTGGACATTCTTGGTTTGTTACAGTGACTACACATTCAAGCTAACAGAGAAATGTCTACAGTATATCCTTCAATAGAGGGAGTCTGGAGCTATTAATAGTATGACACCCTAGTGTGGCCAGGCTTATATATTTGTTACTGCCTTTACGGTGCTTATAATAAGAGTCACTACTTTGTAGGTGTTTTACACTGTGACTGAATCACAGACTTCATAACTTAGCTTGGGCTGTAGATTCCCAGAAGATGTTGAAACATGTTTTCTTGTGTTCTCTTCTCTTCTTCATAAATCTAACCCCTTTCTGGACATTCACATGACAGAGCACTTCTCCTCTGCTTTGCTCTTCAGCTCGCTGACGGTGGCTGTGGCCTTCTCCTTCAGCTGATCCATGTCCATGTTCTGCAAGTTTTGAATCTGGCCAAAGATGGAATCCTTGCCCTCCTCCTCTGTGGCATCCTCGTCTACCATCTTGAGCAGCTCCTCGGGCACGTCCACATCATCGCCGGCCATCTCGATCATGTTGTCATCCTGCTCACTCTGCAGACAACGACATCAGGACAGAAAACATGGTCAGAACCCAGAACACAAACACACGACAGTAGAGGGTTTTCCAGTTAAAATCTCATTACTAATATTAGTAAAGTTTTTTTTCGCCAAGTGCCAAAATGGCAAGTCAGTGGGAGAAATTCAGAATTACTTGCAAAGAGAAACATTAACAGCATTCAAACTATAAGCATTAAAACCAGAATAAGAAATGTCTTTATTTGGCACCTGTAGCCCCAAGTAACCATAATCTAGTTTATAATATGTTTTTCTCTGTATTATCCAAAACATTTGGTTCCAAAGATTTAAGAACATGATATAGGTCACAAATTGTTCTTTTTTGCAGGGTTGTATAGGGTGTGTAATTAAATGAAGACAGAATTTATTCATAAACATTCACACAAAGAAGCACTGTTTCATTTTCTCTGGTTATAAGAAAAGTCGTATATTATGGCAACATGTTATTATTTGCTGAGGTAAACAACTTAAAGGCTGATAGGAGAGATTTTTAAGGGATTAACATGCCATTTGTCTGCCTGATTTCCAAAACACACCGGATCTTCCCACGGCTACACTCAAATCTGACAAACACAGCATGTACCACTAAGCTGAATTGTACAAAAACCTGAAATAAAGATATATAAAATAAATAAATGCATTTTCTTCCTTAGATTGTACTTCAAATGTAACACAAAACTTTTTTAAAGGAATTAATGTAGCAAAAAGACAAACTAATTCATGGATAAATAACTGAGGAGATTCTGCTGTCTGCCTCTTCTGCACCTTTATGAAGCCAAAAAAAAAAAAAAATTCTTTCACTTTATTATCATAAAAAGCCACGATTCAAAACATTTTGAACCAACTAAATCTAATCACCTTATATGTGAAACAGTCCTCCAGTAGGGACTGAACTGTGACTAAACTGTGGGATTATCTCAGTCCTGCCCTAGCCTTCGCTCATCAAATCTCAACAGTAGTCTAAAGATATCTTCTAAACTAAAGCATCACACAAGACCCTAATTCCATTAGATGAACAGCCCCAACTTCCTGTTTCTATTCATATAGTACACTTGTTCAATTAAATACTGTTTACACTTGATTGCATGTGTTGTCAACCTCCTACCCCTTAATAGAAAAGAATCAACAGAACAGGAGTCCATTAGAGGCCTTATTGTTCTTGAAAACCCTTTTAAAATGCCATTTTCAGCACTAATAATGACACAGACTTTTGTCATTTGTTCTTTTTCAAGTACAGTGTAAACATCATTTAAGGAAAATAATTAGATTTATCTGTAACGCCTCGTGCCGTTGTAGTCATCTTACATGTGTGGTTTCGGTTTAAAAGAAATTGTACCCATTGTTTAAAAAGGAACTGAACAATAGAAAGTCTGTTGTGTGGATCTTTTAGAAACACCTCCAGCTGCCAAGGTAATCAGTGCGTTAGAAAACGTGTACAGCAATGGAAATTGATTTTGCTATTTCACCATAAAACAGCTCTTTACGAAAGACTTTTCAGCTGAAGGTGGATTCTCTACTGCCATTTATCTATAAATGATTAAATAAAATCCCAGCATACCTGCTCCGTCTATTACACCAAATCTTTCTTTAAATGTCTTTTTAAGTTGTGCAATTGCTCGGTTATCATCCAAATTGACGTTGTTCTTTGTGAAGCAAGTGCACACTGCCGTATGCTCTCTAATGAGTCTGGGATACCTGCCCAGTGGCATTCACTCTAGTAAAACTCAATATGGCACACATACTGTAGGCTAACATTTTCTGGATGTTTCTTGATCATCTTTCTCACTAATTTGCTGCTACAGAGAACGGCAACCTCACCTAATCATGAAGCAGATATTTGTTGCTCTACCTGCGCTGGCAGAGCACTTAGTCAGTCATCAGATCCTGTTTTAGTTATAACTTCTAGTCCTTATTAAAAAGAATGAGGAAAGTATATGTGATAAAAAAGTGAAAAAATGCATCATAAGTGAAACAATTCTGCAGCTTATAAGATTATAGTTTAGAACATATATTCATATATCTTTTAAAACGATTTAATTATAGTGAAAATGGTAACATTGCTTATAACAGACTCTTCCTCCTGTACTGATGGATGCCCTTCTAATGGGAATCTATCAGTGGAAGCTGCTAATGAGTATAAGTATAGTAAAACACTAATGCAAGGATATAAATTGTCCTCATAGAAGAATCTTAAATATATTGAGAATTAAAGTGTTACCTCACTAGTGAGGGGAATTTATTAATGTATAGTAATAAATGAAAATGCTACTGGCTGAAGAGTTTACCTTTGGCAGCCTGTATTTCTCTCTGAGGCACACCCTGAGTGTTGCCCTCTCTGCCTTCTTGTGTAAGAAATCTGCATCTCTCGCCATCCTGAAACAGATAGAATATTAACATTAGTACTGCAAGCTTTAACGTCGGGCTCAACAACATCCCAGGTCGGTTAAAGTAAAAGTATTATCTTTTTTAATCTCTTTTCTGGTGAATACAAAGGGAAAAGCTGCAAGAAAATACAAGAAGCTGGAATTTTATGACCTTGTGAGCTCTTGTTTGTCATCAGTGGCTCAAGAATAGTGCAACGAAATAATCAGAAGCAGGACTTTCATAACAAGAGGCCTTCATCCCAGTGTAGTATTCACTTTTAATTTTACTGTAGCCAACCAGATAAACAACACAGAGACAATGTAGTTCACAACAACATCCTCCATAACTGCTGTCTAGTCAACGTGAGTATCACTGAATCAGGAACTCAAGATTTTAAATTAAACAACAGGGTCTCGGTATATTCAGTTTTAGTTAAGAGAAAATAAAGTTTTGTTACCATTAGTGTATCTTATTTGGTCTTTAATTTAGGTTGGATTTGACCATAGACATCACTAATATCACAGACCTTTTTAACATGCTGATAATAAGTGTCTCATTGTAGTTTAATGCTTTCAAGGCATTTCCAGATGCTTTTAGTTATTGCAAATGTGATCACTGCTTTCCAGTAACTTGCGTTTTGTGAGACCCGCCTAGCTCAGCATATTACAAGACTAGTCTCACGTACTTTCCCTCTACTAATTAAAGCCAGGATTAATAGGTCAGACTGAGTTGAGCAGGTTTGAAATCAAGCCAAGATGTTGCAACTTGAACTGCATAGGCCTGTGGCTTCTACCAAACAATTAACAAACTACACATTTGTTAAAATGTTTCTTTTAACCAGAAGGATTATATATAGTATGGAAATTTTGCAGACTCTGCATATAGTCTTTCATATTGTCCTTTCTACCAATCATAAGTTGTGGATCACAACTTGTTGTAGGTCTGAATACATTACTAGGAACCTACAGTAATGGAGACTGTCATTTTATATTGTCTTGTAAAACAAGAGTCAACCTCCTAAACCTGAGCGTAGAGGCTGGAGTAATCTTGTGATGTAATACCAACTGACTGGATCCGCTTGAACCTGCAAAATGGGCTCTCGTTCACAAAAGTGCAAATTCTGATTTGTCGGATTTTAGTAGAAACTTTACACTTTTTCTAAACCAAATCTAGGACAGATTAATTACATTCACATTTTATTACTTAAATATCTGCTTTAGTGAAAAGAATTGAATAAACTTGCCACTGGTGCACCAAGCTACCTGCTGCCCATATTACAATATAGTTTTAAGAGTGAGGCTTTTCAAAAACAAACATGTACATAATGCAAGGGCAAACTAAGGGATGTGGACTCTTTAACAATAGGTATGAATTATTTAGTTTTTATATCTTTCCAACACAGATTCTCCTTAACCATGGGTTTTTTAGTGTTTAGGCTAAAATGCTGCAACATTTAGTGTCTCTAAAGTCTGTGTTTTGAGCTATGAATAAAACTGACATTTTACAATTGCTCATTGGTTGTATTCAAAACTCTTCTTGATGCAGAAACAGATGATTAATAGAGAGATTAATGATCCAGGTGCAGGATGACCTTTAGCCATAGTAGGCCATTATGTAGAAAATTCACTATGTATAGGCTCCGGTATGAAGCCACCACTGCTGTGACCTTCAGCAGTTAACTGTATCTATCAGGAGGTCATTGTACACGCATACAAATTTTTACTTTATTGGCATTTAAATGTGGTTAGATTTGGATGTTAATAATATGGTTATGTGTAGTTGCAAAATTGGGAAAAGTAAACAAGTAGTGAAGTTGGTAGCTGCTTGTCAAGGTCAGATCGTATACTCTGCAGCCATACTGTTTTCCATGCACCAAAGGCAAGGATTCATAATGGATCACTGTCTGTGTTGCTACTTACTTCTCCTCCACCAGCTGTTTTTGGTACTCTTCATACTCCTCGCGTGTCATCCCAGCTGCTTTGGCTGGATCTAAGGGGGTGGCCGCCTCTTCTTTGTCACCTCCACCACCAAGTCCTATCCCTGACAGGGGGTTCCCAATCATGCTCTTGAGCAAGAAAGTCTGAAAATGATGCTGCTCCCCTTGTGGTGCCCTCCGCTTTGGCTTTTTATAACTGTCAAATCAAGCCCTCTAGCTAACTTGCTGCTGGTCTATGGAGCCAAGGACGCACTTACGACAAGCAACAGGCACACACACAACGTTTTGCCCTGGCCATAATCTGGATTTAATCCTCCCTGCTTCACTATACTAAGAGGCAGATGGCCTATTTTCTCTCTATTTTTAAATCATGCAGACCTTTGTGGACGTTTTTTTTTTCTTTATTTATTTTGATACTTTGATAATACTTTGGCAGAACAAGGTGCAGCACTTATCAAACATGGTTTTGTAGTGGTTTGTGGCTACACATACACTGGTTGTGCCTGCTTGTGCTTAATCATATTAGTACAGTATGGGCCGGCCTGGGTGCAGCTTATACTGCTGAGACCAAGCAGAGTAGAGTGAGAGAGGAGCAGGATTAGAGTCTAGTTCATCCACACTGGAGCCTTGCTTCATGCTGTGCTCGTGTCCAGTGGGAGGATGGGAGATAGGGAGGAGGCAGATCTAACTCTTATTTCACTTCATATCACTCCATCTTATCTGTAAGCTCAATGAAAGACATCTGGAATACACCCCTGATATTTTTGGCCACCCAAATGTTTCAGAAATTCTCATCTGCAACAAAATGTCTAAATTGTAAAGTCGTATTACATGTAATAAAAAAAAACCTTTCAGATCACTAAGTATAAACTACGATGCTGTTTAAACCAATAGGTTTTGAGTAAGGGTATAGGCAGAGCTACACATTACTATAAAAGAACCAGTTTACATACTATTGAATGTAATAAGTCATGTATCTGTGTTATTCACTGAAGGAATATTTTTCTGTCTAAATAATTCCTGATAAGCTTTCATTTTTCCTTTAGCTAGAAATGTAATCCAGTATTTTTGATAATGCCACAGCCTAGCAGCACCCCCTTTCAATCCATCATAATTAAACTTTTATTTCCTACTGAGCTGATGACTAATAAATGTTACTGAGTATCTTATGGCAGTGTTGGTTGCTCTGCCACTTTGGTCCAGAATGAAATATCTCAAAAGTTGTTAAATGACTTGTCATGAAGTTCTGTACAGAAATGCATGGCTCCTAAAAGATAAATCGTAATGGCCTTGGTGGTCCCGTGACTTTTTATCCAACACTAAATCATTAGTCTAAACCACTAGTGGATGGATTGTCCTAAAGTTTGGCACAGACATTACTGTCTCGTAAGAAGTCTGGCAATCCCTTTAAATGTGTGCCTCCAACAGGTCATAAGTTCAATTTGTCCAGTACTTTGGTTTAAAAACAAATACCTTCATAACTACTGGTCTTGTCTGTATCTTGCAATTAGTCATAATTTGCAAAATTCAGCTGATGAACATGGTAAACATACCTGCTAAACATTAGCATAATACTGTCTTTGAGTGTTAGCATTTAGCTCAAAGCACAGCTGTACCTGTAAGTTCAGACAGAGCCACTAGCATGGCCATAGACTCTTGGTCTCATTTTGGCTTTTTTTTCTTGTATTGATACAGTAGAAGTGGAACGCACGACCATGTTTTCAGTAGATTAATTAATAGGGCCTATTTAATTGAGTGTATTCATTACAGTACGCTGATTCTGTGAAGCATAGTACCGTATATGCCATTTGCCTTGTGGGAATTTTAAATGAACCATTAAATGTGCAAATAAAAACAAAATAAACTATGATTCCAAGAGTTAAATATGAGATATTTATATGAAGGTGGATGCATCTTGTGTGTAGTGTATCTCACACGATGAAAGAATGAGCAGACACCACAGAGTAATGTGTGATTTCTGTTTATGTAAATTGTTCAGGTAGAGGATATGTCAGATTCTGACGTGAGAGTCAGTCAAAAATTGATCAAAAAAATGCAGCCATCTGTTCTCTGAGTTTTTATCACCATTATTTCTTACAAAATAGCAAATTTCAAAACACTTTCATGAAATGGGACAGTGACACATTTCAGATCTGACCAAGCAAAAATACTGTAAGGAACATGTTTAAATCATGTTTGAAATGCAGGACATGAGCATTCATATGCAGTTTACTGATCAAATTAAAAATAAGCTATTAATTAAAACAAACTTCAACAAAATTTATTTTTTTCAAGTACAATAACTTACAATCTGAAAATAATCAAACCAAAACAGTTATCAAAAATGGACACGCTTTCCTGTCTGAATTTGCATTTCATCAAAAGAACTTCTTTGCTGCTGCTTCTTGTTGACTTCTACAGGAGACAAGAAGAGGAGACACAAAGCATTAGAGAGGCTTTTACCTCTACAGCCACATGTACATAAAGCCAAACAGGAATAACCATTATGTCTTACTTGTACATGATGTAGCAGAAGAACAGGACTGATTGGATGACAATAAAGATTACAAAATGAACTGTGGATAAGCAAGAAGGCATGGGAGGCACCTCGTTTTTTGGCCACTTCAGAGCCTTGTCAGCAGGATTCTGCATATGAAAACACACAACAAAGTCCAGTAAACCAAACCCTGATCTATTTTATTAACTTCCCCAAGCCGGATTCCTCTTTGAGCCATACCTGAGCATTACGCTGCACCAGGTGCTCCACGTCCCTTTTGACCGTGTGCAGATGTTCCTTGATGTCGTTGAAGTGTTGAACGGCCTCGTATGTTCCCATAGGGCCTGCTTGTCCCTGCTGCTGGGCTGAGCCGATCTGTTTCAGTGAATCATAAAACGAATTTCTGTAGAGACAAAGTGAAGAGACACTAAGTGGCCGGAGAAACACGGGACCCTTTAGAAGTATTGTGCTATAAACATTGATACTGCAATTGGTTTGTAAAGAGACTGAAATAAATCATCTTTAGTCCAACTGCCTTTCAATGCCAAAGAAATGTCTCAGGGATCGTGTCAAAATGTTTATCTTCAGTCTGATATATGTGTTGAGTGACTTCATGTTGGAAAACATAATGCACAGTCAATGCGCTGTGTGGTATTATTTATTTACACTAATAAAAATTGTCCAAAATTAATCTTTTAATCCCTATTCACTAGAGGAGACATATTCTCAAAGTTTGGACAACAGAAAACTGCCATCTGATAAAAGAGGTCATGATTGCTAAATTAATCCCTTATAAAAACATGTTACAACAGATTAGAAGTCCAGCAGGTTAAGAAACAGATCACAGATGAACACTATCTGGCATTTGCAATCCAGTAAAGACAAAATAAAAATAGTGACTGAAAAATAAAAGAGCACTTCAAAAGGGGAAGCAAATAGATGTGGTCAATGCGAACATATTGTACTGCACATTGAGCATGTTTACTTTTTCCAAACTAAGAATAGGAGAGAAAATGCTTTAAATGAATAAAGTAAATGCTGAAATTTCTGTCTATTAAGTATGAAGCTACCGCCAGCAGCCTGTTAGCTTGGGTTAGCAATGGAAACGGGGAAGTGTAAAATCAACATTTTGTGGATTTACAGGGGTTCAAGTGTTGGACTCTTTCTTGGCCAGGTGCAGTGACTTCCTGCAGTTTTAACGTAAAAAAAAAAAAGGGTTTCTTGACAAATATTAATTCCAGCAGTATAAGTGGGAAGGCTCTGTGTGTGACTGTGACAATAAACCAGATTGGAGGGAAACCATATTTTGCCTGTTTTCAGTAAATGCATTTCAAGACTACTAATCTGGTGAAGACAAAATGGTGCTAAAATGTGGCCTTCTCTTGCTCGGCCATATGGTCTGAATGGATGGTCAGAGATGACAAACAAAATCTAATTTGTTTCACAGAGAGGGAAAACCCCCCTTGAGAAACTAAGTGAGCATTTATCAAGCCCTACATCTTAACTCTTCATCTACTACAGGCGACCCATTTATGAGCAGAAAGCCCTCCTTGTATATTTAGAGTCTGGATGAAGTCCTATCATAAACTGTGTTTAACTATTAGTCGAGATAAATTGAGCGCTTAATCTACAAAGTAAAACAGAATATAGCACATTATAGGGAGCAGCTGCAGCCTTTTACCAGGGTCTAAACTAGTTTACTGTAACAATCAGCCAACTCCTGTGCACCACCTTATCTTACAATTACCATTCACTAATAATGTACTTTTTAAATCTGAATCATTAAAGAAAATGATTCATTTCCTGCCATCTACAGGACATAATTCGCTTAGAGAGGACAAAATGAGCATATAACTCGTAATGGAGTATTAGTCCATGTGTGTCATGGGTCAACAATATAATAAAGATCATGTATGCAAAATCATTTGAGGATGAATGTCCTGTTGGATTTAGGACATAGAAACAGCTTGGTTCTTTCATACAACATGAGACTAAGAGATTAATGTTTACTAAAATGAAATCTTTAACATCATGTGATTTTGATTAATTCTTTATGCAGATGGTGTGTTCAAATTAAGACACAATCAAATGTCAGCGGAAGAAAACACTATGCCATCACTGAATAAATAAACCCAGCCTTTGTTTATACCGCTGATCTTTGAAGGGTGCAAAGTAGTCGAGTAATTTAATAGACTGAAGACTAGTTTTCTTGACAGGTGAATATCTGAGCTTGTTTACGAGCTATAAATGAGCAATCTGGCTATTTCACAACATACAATATTTATTTGAGAAACTGAGAAACACAGTGATTAAAATCCACTCACTAATCTACAAGAAGGATTTGGAAGAAGATGTTTTTAAATCTGTTACCTGCTCACAGTGACAAGCACCTTAGGCTAGCAACACAAAAGCACAAATATGTTACTGACAAAGCCCTAAACATCTAACGTCAGGCTTACTCGCTGCAAGTATCAAAATCAAAGCAATCATTTGAGTGTTTGCCATGGAAAGCACAGCATCATAAAACCTGTATTATGCTGGCATTAAAATCTGTGCAGTGGTGAGGAGACCATTTTTATAGATAAGGAATAAGAGAATATCCTTTAAATACTTTTTACTCCATCACCTTTTAAATTCAAGGTGTCTAAGAATATGTCTAAACCTCTGCAATGAAGTCCTGTTTTTACATCACTATACAACTACTTTAATAACAAAATGTAATTAATCTTTTTATCTTAACACCACAAGCAAAGACAACTCACCTCAACTCATTCAGGTTTCTGAGTACTTCCTGCTGCGTGGCTATGACAGAGCCCATCTGACCTGTAGGATCCACCTATGGTAAAAGAGAAAAGCAACACAGTGGTCTGAAGCCATCAGCAGAAATGTTCTGAACAAAAATAGTTTTCATGTGGGTTCATCAGGGAAAAATCAGCAGCGTTTATGCTTGGATTTATTGATTTTATTGATGTTTCCTGGTTTGCTACAGAAGGTGGGGGGGGAGTGAAACTAAACAGCTCAGAGTTACATCAGGAGCCTGATCAATCATAACAGATACTGGTAAAAGGTTAGTAACATAAAGTAAGGTTTAAACAGCTGTGTGTCAAGCCGTTCAGGAAATAAATGGAATGAAAATATTGATTGAAACTTAAGAATATGGATTGAAAAGCTGGATATATTGAATGAAACTTGAGAATATATATAATGAAAAGCTGGATATATTGAATGAAACTTGAGAATATATATAATGAAAAGATGAATATATATATATAATGAAAAGATGAATATATTGAATGAAACTTGAGAATATATATAATGAAAGTCTGAATATATATATAATGAAAAGCTGAATATATGGAATGAAACTTGAGAATATATATAATGAAAGTCTGAATATATATAAAATGAAAAGATGAATATATGGAATGAAACTTGAGAATATTGAATGAAAGTCTAAAGTGGCTATTGCGACAATGCTTTAAGGCAGTTTGCAGACACCTGTGAGAGTACAACTTTTAGCGTTAAGCTAGCGCTAAGGTTCTTTCTGTAGCGTTGCTACTACTAGCCTGGTGACTAGGAACAGTCTGGCTAGTAAGACTCGCTACATTTGGC